GATAATTTCTTTTATTCTTGAAATTTGCAGCTGCCCGTGACCTAAAGAAAGTTTGATTTTTTAGTGCTTTCACAGAATAACCCTAAAATGGTAAAAAAGCATATTCCTGAAAATGTTACTAAAAATTTTCTGTTGACTTACAGTGCATTTTCCTAATATTTTCCTCGGAAAGATTCAAAAACTAACACACTACACAAGCATCTTTTGACACAGCATTGCTGGCAACTATCTTTAAAAGATAGACGTTTCAAGAAACTAGCTTATAAGATATTTCTCAGTGTATTAAAATTGATAAATTAATTACTTTTAAAAAATAATCCGGTCACGTACGTTCTTAGAAGAGATAAATGTTGATTTTTTTTCAATACGTGGTATCAGTTCAAGAAACAAACATGAATAGCAATGCTTTTCCATGTCAAAAGATGCTTTAATTCCAAATGAATTTCTAGCTGTAATTTCAAAATAAATAGCAAAAATAAACAGATTTTTCCCTTCAAGAGGAAAATCTTCTCCCCTTCATTTTTCCTCCTTTTCAGAGAGAGGGGCTTTTAATATATGAACACTATAACAAACATATGAATTCAATAAACTAGACTATGTTACGGGTGAGATTTAAGTGATCAACTGATTCTCATACCCGGATCCCGTCTTCGGCTAGTACTCGAATCCAAAAATTTTCGACACCGAACATGGTAACGCTCGCACTGTCGTTACCAGCAATCAGTTCGTGATAATTTCTATCTGAAGTTATAATTAGAATTTGTCAGCAAACGTCTCTCATATCCTCTTTACGATGAGAATTTTCTAGCTAAATTCAGTACCAATTCTGCTGCCTTACACCCTAGAAAGATCGATTTGGTCAAACTTCGCAATACGTCTGAGCTCTTGCATGGGATTTAAATCTAAGATTTTTCTTCCTTTTACAGGCATGTAGCTAATGGATTACAAAAGAGGGCATCGCCAGCTTCTGTTACTGTATTTACTCAAAATAAGACGCTCTAGAATATAAAATCATCCCTACATTTAAACATACATTTAGGAATTAAAAATCTATAGAAATATTAATATTGCATTGAAGTAATTCTGAGAAAGGGAACCTTAGTCTATTTCTTTCTTCAGATTTTCCTTGCAATAACAGTGTCATTAGCTGTAGCCTAGGCACACTGTTTATGGATATATCGTTACTTATTTCTTTTCAGACATACCAGTGACCAGTAAATTTGATACAGGCTTAAAATGAAATCGTTCAGCTAGACGTAGCTATAACAATAGCGATAACTATGCAGTTATACGTACAGTAATTAGTGTAATTATTCTATATAAAATTACAATCATACTCCTTTCTTTTACTCTGTAACTTCATTTATCAAAATTCCTGATCGTAAGACCCTACCGAAGTTTGGAATGAAAATATAGCAAAATACTGCAGTCTAATTTTTGTGTAAATACTGTAATTTCCACTTGAAGGGGTAAATTGAAGAAGCTGAAAGTTACCTTTGAATTTGAATTTGACCACGGTCTATGAAAATGTATTCATCATGAGTATCAAAATTTGAAGTGTGGAGTTATCTTATTCTTTAGATGCTTAAAATTCTTTTAAATGCCTTATGTTTATAAATGTTACAATTTTTTTACGAATTAGATAGGCTGATAGAAACCATTCATTATCAGTCCATAGTTCATGAAATATAATGTATCACGTTATTTAAAATTGCTACTTAACACCTAGTTTTTATTCGTTTTAATTTGCATTAGTTTATCGAAAGCAAAAAATTCCAAAATTTGACAAAACTAAATAAGAGGCATTTAAAAAAACACTTTTTTGAAGAAAATTAAAGTCATCATAATCACTTTTTAAATTTGTATAGAAAACGAGCTTGTATTTATTTACATATTAAATAGTTAAACAGGTAACACAGTAATGTTTTTAAAAACATTAACGCAATAAATATTTATCTATTTCCTTCGAATATATAAAACTTCTGTTGGTGATCGCATATGTGTTAGAAGCAAAGATTCTGATTATTTAATATAACAACTGCTGAACATATATCGGAAAAAAACCAGATGCTGAAATGAAATGTAATTTACTCAATAAATACGGCGAAATTTTTCTTCTGCCATTCGACCGAAATCCTCTTTTTATTTGGGAGAGGAGAAAGAATCAGACCATCTGGCTGACATCAAACTCAAATGCCGTTTTCTGCTATGGGATTCTCAAACACAGTCAGCATATCGATCAGTTCTCATCTGCCCGAAATTTTATCTGTCTTGAAAGTAGTGAGTCAGCGTCTAAGTTACATCTGCAAAAAAGAGGGGAAAAATTCAGGAAATGTAATTAAGATATTGTTATACTTGAGTTTATAATGGCAAACTGGAGTTACGCTCAGTGATTCTATAGTGGACCTGAATGAAATAATGAGAAGAGTATTAGCACTCTACAGCGAAACATTTGTACCCTATATACCAAATAAGAAAAAAATGGAGTAAGTTTCCAACTCTGTTAAAAAAGTATAAAACGGCTGAATAGTTAATTGATTTAGCTATGCTTCGCCCATCATCGATCCTGTCTTTGCATTAAGAAACACTGTAGAAAGAAAAAAAAGCACTTTGCTTCTCGTCCATATTTCTGAAGGAATAAAAAAAATTGCTTCTTCTTCCCTATCCGTCTTGCCGTCCTCTGTTTTTGTTTTTTAGACCCATCTAATTAATTTTATGTGCAATAATTCAATTAATTCCATTATTTATTAATTGATTTTCCATAAGTAAATGGTACTATATGTAATAAAAAAGGCCAATAAAAAGGTAAATTATTGATTGTGTAGAATGTAGAAGGTTGAATCCGTAATGAGGAGCAAGAATTTTGATAGCGTCGAATGCTGAAATGCCGATTCACAATGAATAGGAAACTGGCAGCCGAGACAAATTAAATCTTTATTTTATTTCAGTAAACATGTTGCGGCCACAAGCAAATTGGCACATTTTTGTGCCTATTTCAAAATGTTTACATTTTTGATAACTTTGCAGAAAGAAGAAAGCAGCAGAAAACAGTCCAGGTAGGCCGAAGATTAGCATATGAGTACCTTTTGCTCAGCATGGTATCTTAATTTAGACTGAAATAGTTTTGGTTTCCGATGCATTTTGATTGGATAATATGACATGGATTTTTCTAGAAATTAAGCTATGCAAAGAAAGATTACTGTTTTTAGAATGAAGCAGGGAAATTAAATCACGCTGCTAATTTAAATTATAATTTTTAAAGTTTATTGTTTACAGGTTCTTTATTTTTCTTACACACACACATGTATATATACATGCGTAAGAAAATGTATACTAGTATATAGGTATATAATCACAGTACTATATACATTGAAACAATAATTATTAGCTCAAAGGGGCAATTTGCCAAGAAGGGCTATTAATTTCGTTTTGTCATTTTGAGTCTTCGATTATAAAACGGTGTTTTACTTTTCAAATTGTTGCCACCAAATATTAGAGCCCTGTATTATGTTTAAAAAAAATTAAATAATGAAGAATCCGCATGAATGTCTGTATGTTTCTCGCATTGTGAAAAAACAACGGTACCTAGATACATCCAATTTTGAATAACGTAATCCTCCACTCAAATATGAGCATCTGGAAGTCCAAATTTGGAGTTTGTTTTATTATCTATTTCATATTTTGTAAAAATTTAACGAATTTTTGATTAACAAAGTCAACGATTTCAAAGCGAACAATGGCAACACTGTACGAAAAAGAAGAACATTTTTATCTCCAGGGCGCGAGACTGTGTATCAAAAAATCTAAAGATATACTCTTTTTAAATATTTTGTAATATTGCTATTGAATTGAATTTTATATGGTTTAAGTGCGAAGAACATGACATTTAATAAATAAATGTAACAATCGAAACGTTAAATAAACAACCCTTTCGGCGTAATATAAAATCTGAATATTTTCAGATATTTTGTGATTTTTTAAAAATCCTTAAGTACATGCAGTTTCAATTTAACAGCAGAACAGATGTCTTAAATCTTCCTATCGTTTTCTACAGCTTTTGAATTCTGATAGCTGGATATTTAAATTCCAAACTAAACATTTTCTCACATAACTCAAGTAATACCACTAATTAGAGCCTTCAAAATATTGCTAACTGAATTCTGTATTACCTCCTTAAATTATGAACAGCAAAAAAATAAGACAGATAAAGTAAATTATTTTGCATGTTTTAGCGTAAATGTCTCATCGTAATGTTAAGGTTATATTTAATGAGACTTCGAAAATTTTAATACTGATAGCAACGAAATTGAGGAAGTAGAGAGTATTTGTATTAGTTCTTTATCTGAGTTAGCTGAATTAGTTCTCAGTTATTTACCCACAACGCAAAATTCTCAAAAGATTTATTGTAGCCTTCGTATTTAATTCGCTACCGAAATCAATAAGACTTTGAAGTAGTCGTTCAGTTTCGGATATTTGAATTAGGTTTTTAATCCTCACGATGATAAATAAAACAGCGGAATCACTTAGGGAAGAAAAGGAAGATATGAAGAGTATATGCAAATATAATATGCAAGGGAACGAGGGCGCGAGCGTATATGTAGCAATAATAGGATATAGAAAATGGCAGCTTTTCGTTGGCTGAAGCTCGAAGAGTGGTGAAAGATTTAACCTGAATTGTAAGACCGCTCGAGTTATAATCGAAGTGAATAGATTTCTAATTAAAGAAAAGAAATAAAATATTTACGCAGTGTAAGGAAATAGTATACAGGTAGTATCCGAATTATTTCAAAAACAGTTTGCGCTTATGAACAAACTTCATAAGTTCGCAATAAGTATAATTTATAGTTAAGTAATTAGATTCCTTCTAGAAGGCTATAGTTAAACAATTAAATTAATTCTAGAAGGATTATTTATAATTGACTAAGTAAATTAGTGACATGGGAATTAATTTTCTTCAGCTTGTCGTAAGCAATAGCATCAAAATTTGCATGTATTTGTACCAGAATGAAAGAAAATGTTTCTTCCGGCTCTAGAATCCATCTCCTAGAGTCTATCTTTCCCTCTTCTATCGTCATGTGAAGATTAACATTAGCTCATCTTCTTGCATCAAACAAGCGCTATCCTGTAAGCAAAACATTAAAGGAACACTAATTTAGAATTAACATAAATAACATAAATAAAATAGCTGATTATTTATGCAACTTTTAATTATAGTGCAGCTGTATTAGTATTAATTTTACAGTATTATATCGAATTATTGTTAGCATTTATGTCAGTGTATTATACAATTGTTATTATTTTCAACACTCCGCACTCAGTATGTGCTGTTGATCAAGGCTAGAACATACTCACAAAACGATTTGCAGATATTCTCATGAACGTATTTCTTTAGTAAACCGGGACTTTCGTACTCAAGTACATAACATCTAATTTCAAAAAAAAAGAAAAAAAAATGTTTAAGCATTAAAGTCAACAAATTATGTAAAACAAAGTAGAAAACAGATAAATATAATAACAATTAAAATATATGTATATGCAATGGTATTCATGTATGGATAAGTAAATCAAAATCACGTAGTGTAAGCATGCTTTATAAATAAATTTCTTATTTTGAAAGGAACATTTCCCAAATTCTCAGCTTTTTATGCTTTTCTGTAAAATTTAACCATCGATCTCAGGTAAATGAGCGGTTTCGATTAAGTTTACATTCAAACTTCAGGTCGCCATACAAATTAAATTCATTAACCATATTTAAGCCCCCTTTTTTAAAGTGCAGTTTTTCCCCAACTTTCCTCTTTCTTCATCGCCATTCTCGATTTTGTTAGATTTTGATAACGATCCCTTGGTTAGAAATGTGTAACCGACTGTAAAAGCTAATAATAACAAAGCATTTTAGATGGTGGAAAAATAAAAAAGCAGTACATATAATTGAAATATGTACTATGTTTGGATGCGTTTTCGGGATGCAGCCGCTGTGTATAAGCAATTAAGCTTTTGGTTAGCCCTGGAAGTTTTATTGTTTTTCTTTTAAGAATTTGAAGTGCAGTATGATAGGAAAAGTAATGGTTTAATTAGATTTATATTTTTATTTCTTTTAATGTTCTTTTAGCTGTAATAACATGTTCGATAAAAATGAATTATTATTTAAATTACTAAGTTAAAATAAATAAACGAATCGCCCAATAATAAAGTTATGTCTTATGAGTAAAATATCGTTCCCCAAAACATGCCGCCCGGGGCAAATCATCCTCTCTGTTTCCCTGTCACAGTTCCACCGAATGCAACATAATTTTTTATATAATATTAGTTTTGAATAAGTACATTAATTTTATTTTGCGCTAATTTGATTCTGCAATATGGAAATAATGAGTTTATGAATTTAATGATAACAATAACTGAATGCAACTTAACATTACCAGCCCTTTTATAATAATTTTATTTCAGTTAACTCTTTTGAAATTAAAATGTAAAAAAGAGAGCTTACATTAAAATATTGATTCAATTTTATAAACTTTTCCCGCTTTAAAAGTAAAGTAGTTACAGTATGAAATATTTATTATCTATGCTTAGCTTACTGCATTAAGAAAAGAGAGGACTACTAATGTTGTATTTTCAAAGGGAAAAAAGTATTATTTACAAATCATTAAGTTTTCTAGTTTTGCATGGTTATACAAACATCAAGAAATGATTTCGGTCCTCTGATTTCTTTCAGATACCCATCTTCAAGTTTATTTACTCCCTAATCTTTATGTTTCCTCGAATCTGCGTTTTAGTACTTAGATTTTGCATAAAACATAAATGCAAACTCATGAATCTTCGGTTAAAAATGTGACAAATGTGGGACCGATGTTTTGAATAATAAATCAATTTGATATGAAGGAAAGCTGCTGCTAGGAAACTTGTAATGATTATCATTGTTTAAATGTTTATTCTTTTATCCTGCGTCTATTTACCTAAAATTTTGCAATCAAATGCTTATTAATAGTTCTTTAAGATTTCAATATTTTTGACTGAGAAATCTTGATTCCAGAACTTTATGATTTAAGAAACATCTAATTACTTCTTATTTGCTGTAAAATATGCTCTTGGACTGGATATTGAGATTAAAAATATTTTTGTTTTAATTTTTCATATGCTTTTCAATTCTTAAAAGGAACAAAACCTTGTTTCAAAATCGATATCTCATTTCGTAGTGTCTAAGAGAAGAATGACAGAAGTAATGTGGAAGGGTGCAGCAGAGTGAGTTTGACAGAAAATCTCCGCCTGCATTCGAAAGACGCTCTGAAGACAAGATGTAAGGATTTATGGACTTAGTATCAAGAAGTAAGGAGAATCGTGACAGTCTGGCGCAAAAGGTTATCACATCTACTGAAGGTGAAAAATCACAGTTCGGACCTCCTTGGATAGCGAAACCTTCAAAATATTTTCATCTGATATTAAATGGATAGAATCGAAAGATTTAAAATAAACTAAAATGGAAAATTCATGCTTTAGCAATGTTATTTATTTGTAAACCTTAAACAAAAAATCTCTATGTTTTTAAATGTATTTAAGAATGTAAGGGATTAAAACAACTTTGCAAAGGCTTTTCGTCAGAAATGTTAGTAGAAAAGTGAGTAGATTGTTGTTGTTGCTGTGCTTGTGTTTGTTTTGGTTCGTTGTTTGTAATATAACCATCGGAGATCCAAAGTGACGACTCTCTTTTTTGGCGATTTGAGTAATCCTTTTAAATAATAATAATTTGTAGGAAAATATTCACATTTATTCATTTATTTTTAATCTTGCTAACTTTAGCCTTTTAATATTCTGTTTTGTGATATTTCCTATTCGTTTATTCTTACTAGCACCATAAAAATACGAGCACATGTGAATTACTGACTAAATAAAATAAAGACAGATGGAAGGAAAGTACAGTTGAACTTGACTCATTCTTTCGATTGTTAATGTCTTAATAGTTTAGCCATCATCTATTCCGCTGTTGCGTTTTAGTACGTTGATGGCTTTTTGAGAGACTTTGTTTTAGCTATCAAAGCAATCAACTCAGATGAAAATAAAATAAACCCAAATTTGTTAATTTAGATTCAAATTACTTCATTTAAAGTTGGGTAGGAACTGATAAGAATTTTATAGTGTTGCTTAAAATTACTATAGCTAATGATATAACAAATGCATTTTTTTAGATAAATATTGTTTAAGAGTAGTGCTTGAAATCATAAAAGTAGGAGTCGTCATCAAAGTATGAATTATAAAATATGAGTCGTCATGTTGAATAACTGCTGGTTATGTTAGACATAATATTTTTACTTTTTTTCTAACATTTTCTTTGACAAGTATTTGCAAAGTACATTGTTTTAATCATTATTATGAGTAACCTTGGAAAAGGATTGTTTTTTATTACCAGTTGTAATAACTTCTGATGTTGTGTTGCACAGATTTGTGTATTCATTTAGGCTCTTGGATGTTCTTAGATGAAATAGTCTAAATGCAGAGAAATGTTACAGAAATGGGAAGGATTTAATAGCGAAAGTAAATAATGCATTATCATGCACTTTATTTGAAGCTTCTAAATTATTTCATCCCCCAACTTTAAGATTTTTAGTTGAAATTGAGATCTATCTATTTGGTAATTATAAATGTTGTAACCCCGTTACTATTTAAAAACTGAGAGCATTTGTCTATAATGCAATTAGTTGATGAGCTTTTCAATATTTTTGAGCAATATCACTTTAATTCTAGAGGGCAAGGTTCATATTTGAATGCTCAGCATTAAAATTTTATTCAATCATACATAAAACACAAAGATAAGAATGAATTAAAACGAAATAAATGAGCGAGTCAAGTCATATTCAATATCTGAAATAAATTGCCGTTGCAAAATGTGAACACTATTATTTACTGTCATTCATCGGTTTTTCATTGTAAAATTCTGGAGGGGAGTAAAATAGCAAGCCTTTATGTTGTGCAAATAGAGGCTTGCTGGGACAGCACAAAATCTGGTACTAAGTTTCCAGTGCCATGGCTAGAAAAATTAGCCACCGGAACTATCGCTTTTAACTCCAAAATATTGTTTTATATAAATGTTTACTTTTATTCTTATATTTCACTGCTCTAATTTGAACCAGGATTAATTCTCTCCATCTGTACGCTAAATGAGATTGTATATTTTTAATTATAAGTTTCACTCTAGCTGAGCACTTTTATAATGTGTCCGCTTTTGACTAGACTCGCCAACAGATCTTTTCATTTGTTGAATACAAGTGGCATTTACAAAATCCTTAATCTTTAATTTTCTAATTTCATCTTATTTAAGATAGGTTAGGCAACTTCTCATCTCATTCAGAAATATCTAAAAACAATATGGCGTTCTTGGTTTGTATAACATTTTGAAAATTTGAGAAAGTTTCTTGGCTATAGATTCCACTTGTATATGTATACACTCTTTCTAAGCCCATTCGCTGGGATTCGAGCTACAATTGCAACGGCCTGGTTTTGAATCCAAATCCATCCGGAAGCTGGGTTTGGTTATGGGTATTTTCTACTTAATAACTAATATTTACGTGACTTGACAATTCATTTAAGCGTTAGCGTTATCTGACCCTTTATACCCTTATCAATTTCTTTTTTACCGGGAATGTAATGTATTCCAGGTAATGTAATGAAGCTATTAATTGGTATTTTTTTAAATTTATTCAAAATAAATATGCAATTAAAAAAACTGTTTTTTTAGTGCAGTTGATGCTCCCTATTATGATACTTTGCAACCTTCAGAAAAAGGGCGTCGTAACGAGTTGTCGCTATAACGATAATGGATTTAATGCACTCTTATCATCTGAAGACATTTTGTAGGAGTGTTTGCAATGGAATTGGCGATATAGTTAGGGATCGTTAAAACTAGTGTCGACTTTAGTACTTACTTATGAATTCGTAGTTTCGGAAAGCTTCCTAGAGAAGAATTATTTCAATTCAAAAATTCAAAGCCTATAAAAAGTTTATCTATAAAGTTTGCTTGCTTTCCATGCAAATATAAAAATTTTAACCCCTGCCACACACTGATAACATTGCTCACGTTTGGTACTCTCAATGTAGAAACCAGAAATTAGTCCACCTAAAAATTGAGGATATGCAAAATAAATAAAATACATGATAATAGTCGTTAAATTCTATTTTGTAATTTAATCTCTGTTATACTTCTGCTATGTTTCTTCTTCGCGTTTTTAAAGATTAAAAAAAATTTAATTTCGAAGAGAATAAGTCCTATAAAAATGATAATTATTACCGTTTGCTTAATAATTTAAATGCTAATTCAGAAGTCAAACAACAAAAATCAGCGTTATATTTACAAAATGTTCACAGGACTAGTTTTCGATGGTTTTACCGAACCACCATCCTCAGCTGCAAAACCGCAAATGAACAAGATAGGAAATAA